CCACCTCAGAAGGATGAGAGGCTGAGTCAACCTTGAGCCGGTCAGGATCAAACTGCCAAACTGCCGGCAGCTGGCAGTCAGCAGAAGTAGCCTGCAATACTGCCTTCTAACCGCTGCGCGACCGAGGCTCTTAAAGTGTGAAAAATGACCCTTTATGTCACTTTTATCATTTACCATTGTAACTTCAAGCAGTCCTTAAACGAATGGTTATAAGTTGAGGACTATCTGTATAGTTCTGCGGCACACTAAATGGTAAGTATAAAGATGAAAAAAAAAATAGCACAGCTTGGTTTTAAGCTCAGCAGCCTGGTTTTATTTTACTTCCTGCTATTTTTAGAAATGGTGAGATCTTAGCATGCCCTAGATTCTGGAAGTCAGTATCTCCAAAGTCCTTCATTTTGACTAAGTGACCCAAAAGAACAGGTTGAGGTCTGCACTGAGACAGAACTCTTGAAAGCTTTTACGGTGGACTTTCCAGACCTAAATCTTTCCACCAAGCTGGATAAATTATATTTTACACAAAAGGTTCAACCTTCATGTTCCTTGCCATCAAAGAAGTCACTAATCCACGTTGAATAATATCAAACTTTGAGGCTGAATCGCTTGTTAGTCTGAAAAGGCTCACACGTCAAACTCCTGTCAGCGAACACAAGAAAGCGTTAACGTTCTCCCCTTGGGTTTTCACAATGAAATATATTTACATGTAAACCAAAATCCGTTTTATTTTATTTGTTTTTTGCTAACCCTGTTTAGCCTTGTCAGGCTGTAAAACAGTCAGGCAGAGTTTAAATTAAATTGAAGGGAAGTCTACTTTTTCTGGGTCTGAGGATTAGGTAAGGCAAAACGCAGTTCTGCTGCTCTAAATCCTGCCTCCCAAAGATGCACCTAATTGGTAAAGGAATGGGAATTTGTGTTTAAGGATGAGTTATGGTTATATAACACAGGCAGAGTCTATTTCTTAAATTCCCAGGAAGGAGGAGGAGGAGAAAGGAGGAGGAGGAAGAGGAGGAGGAAAGAACAAGAAGAGGAAGAGGAGGAGGAAGAATAAGAAGGGGGAGAAGAGAAGGAGGAGAGGAGGAGGAGGAGAAGAAGAGGAGGAGCAGGAAGAAGCAGGAAGGGGAGGAGGAGAGGAAGAGGAGGAAGAATAAGGAGAAGAGGAGGAGCAGGAGGAGGGAGCAGGAAGGAACAGGAAGAGGAGGAGAGAAAGAGGAAGAAGCGGAGGAAGGAGGAGGAAGAGGAGGAGGAAGAATAGGAAGGAGGAGTAGAGAAGGAGGAGAGGAGGAGGAGGAGAAGAGGAGGATGAGGAAGAGAAGGAGGAAGAGGCAGAAGAAGGAAGTGGAGGAGGAGGAAGAGATAATGCTAGAAGGGCATGTATCTTTTCTGAACCATGGGGATACTGCAATGGGCATAAGTGTGAAAACAGTCATAAGTTACCTTTTTCAGTACCGTCGTAATTTTGAACGGTCACTAAAGAAAGAGTTTTAAGTCACGAACTCCCCGTACGTTGCCATCTACTGCAGGGGATTCCAAACCACGGGCCATGGGCTACTATAGGGGTGTGACCTGTTTGAAACCGGGCAGTGCAAGCGATACACGTGCAAAACTCTACTCTTGTGCTTGTGCAAGAAGCTACACTCTCACAAGCGTTGGGCCCTTGTGTTTGCGTGAGTAGCTCCACTCACGAGCAGAGGTTGCTTGAGAGGAGGGAGTTTGTGCTGGCACACAAAAGCTCCATTCACGCTTGTGAGCGTGCCACACCAATACTCCCCACCCCGGCAGGCCAGGCCACCAAGGCAGTGGTGGGATTCAATTTTTTTTACTACCGGGTTTCTGTGGGCGTGGCTTGGTGGGCGTGGCAGGGGAAGGATACTGCAAAATCTACAATCCCTCCCCACCCTGCTAACCTGCTTTCCAGCTCCATTCTCCTGTGCAGGGCAACAAAGAAGACCCAGCCAATCAGCTGGAACTCAGGAGGTGGAGAAGAGATGGGGGCGGGGCCAGTCAGAGGTGGGATTTGCCAGTTCTCCGAACTACTCAAAATGTCTGCTACCGGTTCTCCAGAACTGGTCAGAACCGGCTGAATTACCACCTCTGCACCAAGGGTGAAAGGTTGGGAACTGTTGGTCTGCTATCTAAGGGTAAGTTTTGGAAGAAACCAATATTAAGTGGCGCCTTTCTTTCACGAGCAGCTTTACTGATTATCATTGAAGGACACACAATTTTCTCCGGTCCAAAAAGTGTACATTTATGTTTCTGGGTGCACACTCTGTTCAGGGAAGCATGCTATGAAGTTTAGGTGGGATCAGGCCCTGGACTCAATTTGAATTAAATTATTAATTACTGCATTTAGGTTAATGGGGGTAATTAGATTACTCCCCGTGCATTTGATAATTGCTACATTCTTTTGTGTAAAATATGATTATTTAATGGTAATTTGGGGATTGATTCAGAGCAATGCCTTCAAGGTTTGGGAGGAGGGCGAGCGTCTCCCATTATGGACCATTGCAACAAACCGTCTTGAGAAAAAGACGAATGTGAGCTTCGAGATGAGGCAAGAGACGGTTTGTGTAAAGGATGTCCTTCCAACCATTTGCTACATAAATATTCCTGCCCTGATCAGTGCACATTGCTTATGAGCTGTGATTAATGCCCTCCTGTAAGAGGTGTCTCAAGAGAAGCTGTGAAAACAATTTCCATGCTGAGCAAGAAAATTATACAGGGAGCAATTCTCACTGTAGGCCATTTATGAAATTTTTGTCAAAGCTTCCTCTTTTTCCCCCAAAAAACAACAACAACAAAAAGAAAGAAAATGGAAAAAAAGAATGATGGAAGGAGCAGCGCATCATGCAAAACACACACCCCGCGGCAAAATAATTTCTGGCAAGCCATTAAAAGGCTTGTATCAAACACTTTATAGCAGTGATTCTCAACTTGGCAACTTTGTGAGGACTTCGACTTTCAGAATTCCCCGACCAGCCAGTTCTGGGGAATTCTGGGAGTTGAAGTCCACACATCTTAAAGTTACCAAGTTGAGAAATACTAGATTATACTGTAAACTGGCTTTCCCTAATCTCCATATGATTTGGGATAACAAACCCTCAGGATTCTCTTTTGGATCCACACATTTGGAATACTGGCCACACTTGGAATACTGCATCCAGTTTTGGTCGCCATGATGTAAAAGAGATGTTGATACTCTAGAAAGCATGCAGAGAAGAACAACAAAGATGATTAGGGGACTGGAGGCTAAAAGGTATGAGGAATGGTTGTAGGAATTGTGGGTATGTCTCGTCTGATGAAAAGAAGGACTAGGGGAGACAGGATAGCAGTATTCCGATATCTCAGGGGCTGCCACAAAGAAGAGGGAATCAAGCTATTCTCCAAAGCACCTGAGGGCAGGACAAGAAGCAATGAGTGGAAACTGACCAAGGAGAGGAGCAACCTAGAACTAAGGAGAAATTTCCTGACAGTTAGAACAATTCATCAGTGGAACAACTTGCCTCCAGAAATTGTGGGTGCTCCAACACTGGAAGTTTTTAAAAAGATGTTGGATAACCATTTGTCTGAAGTGGTGTAGGGTTTCCTGCCTAGGCAGGGGGCTGGACTAGAAGACCTCCAAGGTCCCTTCCTATTCTATTCTATTCTATTCTATTCTATTCTATTCTATTCTATTCTATTCTATTCTATTCTATGTACACTGAGAACATTTGCACCAAGACAAATTCCTTGTGTGACCAGTCACGCTTGGCCAATCAAGAATTCTTTCTATCTATCTATCTATCTATCTATCTATCTATCTATCTATCTATCTATCTATCTACCTACCTACCTACCTATCTATCTATCTATCTATCTATCTATCTATCTATCTATCTATCTATCTATCTCTCCTAGCCACTATGTTCCTTGCTCGACAAAATAATGAAACAAAAAAAATACTCAAAAATATAGACCACCCACAACTTCTGGAGGCCTGTAATTTCTCTGCCTCTTTTTAAGCAAAGCTGAGCTTAAGTAACTCAGGGGTGTCAAACTCAATTTCATTGAGGGCCACATCAGGGTTGCTTTTGATCTTGCGGGCGTGGCCGGGATGGGCATAGCCAGCTGGATATCACTTGTGTCGGGGGCGCAGTGTTCTGCCAGTGAAAATGGGCCACATGCGGCTCTCCCAAGCTCCATTTTAGCTAACAAATAACAGATAACAGATAATCAGAGTTGGAAGGGACCTTATAGATCATCTAGTCCAGCCCCCTGCCCAAGTGGGAGACCCTACACCATTTCTGACAAATGGCAGTCCAATCTCTTTTTGAAAGTCTCAAGTGATGCCGCTCCCACAACTTCCGAGGGCAACTTCTGTTCCGTAGGTTGATTGCTCTCACTGCTAGAAAGTTTCTCCTTATTTCCAGGTTGAATCTCTCCTTGATCAGTTTCCATCCACTGTTCCTTGTCTGGCCTTCAGGGTGCCTTAGAAAACAGCTTGACTCCCTTCTCTCTTTAGCAGCCCCTCAAATATTGGAAGACTGCTATCCTGTCTCCCCTGGTCCTTCTCTTCTCTTCACTAGACTAGCCAGGCCCAGTTCCTGCAACCATTCATCGTATGTTATTTAGCCTCTAGACCCCTTATCATCCTGGTTGCTCTTCTCTGCACTTTTTCTAGAGTCTCAACTTCTTTTTTATTGTGTGGTGACCAAAACGGCATGAAGTACTCTCAGTGTGGCCTTACTAAGGCTTTATAGAGCGGTATTAGTACCTCATTTGATCTCGATTGCATCCCTCTGTTAATGACGGCTTGCTCCAGCGCTCTGCCAGGGAGGCCTTCCCGAGCTCTGTTTTTGCTGGCAGAGGCGCCGTAGGCCAATCCTTCGCTGCTTCTAAGGTGGGCCCCCCAGGCCAGATCTAAGCACCCCGTGGGCTGGATCCAGCCTATGGGCCTTGAGTTTGACATCCCTGAGCCAACCGATCACTCTTTCAAACCTCACTTGTCAGCCGTATGGCCCTACCTCAATTTTTTTGATTTCGCCAACATCTATTCCCATCACAGAGAATTTCTCCACAGAAGATGCTGCAAATTGGTTCTTTTCTTCCGGGAGATCAAGCCACATGTGGCCGGTACAGTTTTCCTGAGGACCAATGACGATTAGGAAAACTCGGCTGCTGGTACTTGAGTCGTATTCTTTCCCGGTGGTGAGGACGATGTGGTAAGGAATGACTGAAAAGAAAGACAGCCATGTTAGGCAAATGAGATTGATGCAGAGCTCACAGAGGCCTCCATTTTAAGTGACACGAGAGTAAAGGATGTTAGGCCCCAAGGTGGTAGAGATAGTCCTCAATTAACAGCCATTCATTTAGTGACCATTACAACAGCACCGAAAAAAGTGGCTGATGACCGTTTTTCACTTATGACCCCTGTTGTAGCATCCCCGTGGTCATGTGTTCAAAATTGGCAACTGGTTCATACTTTATGAGGGTTGCAAGCAGGTCCAGGGTTGTATGATCCCCTTTGGTGGCCTTCTCACGAGCAAAGTCAACGAAGAAGCCAGATTCGCTTAACAACCGTGTTACTAACGTAGTGACTGCTGTGATTCCCTTAATCACTGTGGCGAGAACACTTCTGGCACTGTTAAATATTTAACCTTCTGGCAGCCACACTTGCTAGTGTGGCTTCCTTCCGTTTTGTGGTTAAAGCACAAACAAAAGCTATAGGATCGATCCCAACATAGGAAACAAAAAAAATGGCAGGAAACCACAGGTCTGCCCACATTATTGTTACCTCTTCCATGCTTTGGAAATGTTGTGGCATTTATTTTGTATTTTATTTATTCGCTTAGCATAGCCTGAAGCTATTAAAATCAGAATGGGACAATTTGCCATGGCCAACTCACCTAGTCATGGCCAAGTCCATGTAGGACAACTCTCCACAGGATGATTTAATGATTCAGTTTAACTATTTAAAATAAATTTAAAAATATTTTAATTTTTTTCATTCACGTTTCATTTTGTCCCTCCTTTTGCATCCTTTCTTTAATGATTCTATCCCACCATTTCTTTGATAATAAGTGTAACTCTTGTCCTTCAGTGAGATGTCCCATGGCGAGCTGGCCATGGTGAGTTGGCTGTGGCCAGTTGGCCAAGGTGAGTTGGCCATGGTGAGTTGGCCGAGGTGAGTTGGTTGTCGCCAATTGGCCATGGTGAGTTGGCTGAGGCCAATTGGCCATGATGAGTTGGCTGTGACAAATTGGCCACAGTGAGTTGGCTGAGGCCAATTGGCCATGGTGAGTTGGCTGTGATAAGTTGGCCATGGTGAGTTGGCTGTGGTGAGTTGGCTGTGGTGAATTGTCAAAGACCTACTAAAATATGTGTGAAACAGTCTAGACTAGTGTTTTCAAACTTGGCAACTTTAAGATGTGTGTCTATGGAGGTTCTTAGTCATCCAGATCATGGTTGTCCTAAAGGTGCTTTTTTCAAGAAGCAACTGGACTTTCTGTTTTTTTCTTTGAAGTCGTTTTGCTTCTCATCCAAGAAGCTTCTTCAGCTCTGACTAGATGGTGGGGAATAGAAGGATTAATATTCCTTGCAGACAGCTGATCATTTGCATTCTTTTAAAAGAGTCACTGAGACCACTTGCAGGTTTATCTGTGTCCTCAGGGTCACCTGAGTAGTGCAAATGGAAGCATTCTTGGAATTGCTTTGTCCATATTTTGGACAGAGAGGACCACTGGTTTGAAAGAAGGGTTAAAGAGGCCATCTATGTCAAAATTGAACAGCTCTCTCTCAACAGCAGCTCCAAGAAGGATCCAAACCTGTTTGCACCACTCAGGTGACCCTGAGGACACAGACAGACCTCCAAGTGGCCTCAACAACTCTCTAAAAGAATGTAAATGACCAGCTGTCCTAAAGGAGTACAAACCCTTCCATTCCCTACCATCTAGTTCAGAGCTGAAGAAGCTTCTTTGATGAGAAGCAAAAGGTCTTCAAAGAAAAACAAGAAAGTTTAAGACGTGTGGATTTCAACTCTTGTAATTCTCCAGCCAGCATGCCAAGTTTAAAAAGGCACCGATCTAGACATAAATCCATAACTTCAGCAAGATACAATAAAGAGATTTTGTTGAGTCTGGGTATAAGCCTGGAATGGTCTTATACCCTGCTTTCTCCACACAGTATTACTTTCTTACGTGACCCATCAAGCGCAGAACTGTTGGTCTTCTTGTCCTTTAGATTGGCATTGTTGTCTCGGTTCAGGGATGCGTTTTCTACGCTCAGGCAGTCAGGATCATAGTTCTAATAAGAGAGCACAAATATATGAAGGAACATCAATACTTGCATCTGTTTTCTTCCTGAGTCAGGAGATGTTTCCCACCTCCAGAGAAATATTATTGCTGAATTTATTTTGGGGGGGCTGGAAGGAAATTCTGGATCAAAATCTCATTTGGCCACAGGCTTTAGTAATACTATTTTAGTAATACTATTGCTAAATTTGCAGATGATACAACAGTGGTGGACTCATCTCTGGGAGGGATGAGTCTGCCTACCGAGATGAGGTGGATCAGTTGCTTTTGTGGTGTGGACACAATAACTTGGTCCTCAACACCAATAAGACCAGGGAGCTTATAGTGGACTATAGAAGGAACAGATCAGACATCCATCCCTTGCTTATAATGGAGACCGAGTGGAGCAGGTAGACAGTTTTAAGTTTCTGGGTGTTAAAAGAGGACCTGACCTGGGTTGCTGACATTGCAGCCCTGGTCAAAAGGGCCCAGCAGAGATTATACTACCTGAGACTTCTCAGAAAACAACTGAATGAAAAACTGCTAGTGACCTTCTACCGCTGTACCACAGAGAGTATCTTAACTCACTGCACCTCTGTATGGTTTGCCAATTGCACAGAGGCAGATAGTACAGCACTCCAGAGGGTTAATGTCATTGCCCAGAGGATCATGGGTTGCCCTCTCCCCTCTTTGGAAGAGCTTTATAGCTCCCACTGCCTTAAGAAAGTTCAAAACAGTCTCAAAGATCCATCTCATCCTGGGAGCCCCTTTTTTGAATTGTTACTATTGGGCAGACGGTACAGAATAATAAAAACAAGGACAAATAGGCCGAAAAAGAGCTTCTATCCCAGGGCAGTAGCTCTTTTGAATTCTGCTGTATAGTGCAGTGTTAGTGCGGTGTTGGGGGTTTTCGGTTCAATGTGTGGAAGGTGAAGGATGTGTGTTTGTTTTTATTTTCATGGTCATGGTCATGATTTGCACTGAAGATGGTGTTTGATTTTGTTGTACGAGGTGCAATGAAAATAAAGTAAAGTAAACTTACAAAGTTACCTTAAACAATTTCCCCCCTTCCTCTCTGAATCTCCTGAGCCTCTCACAGATTTTTTGGGATGATAATTGGATTAATTCTACAGCTGTTACCTGAATACTTTGGATGGATAGGATATGACAGTTAAAGAATCTCTTGATTTTTTTTAAAATCAAATATGCAGTGCCAAAGACAGAATAACAGAGTTGGAAGGGAAGTTGGAGGTCTTCTAGACCAACCCACCACCCAAGCAGGAAACAGTATTTCATTTCAGACAAATGGCTCTCCAATCTCTTCTGAAAATCCTCCGTTGTTGGAGCACTTACAACTACCGAAGGCAAACAGTTCCATGCTTGAATTTTCTCATTTTTCAGGAGATTTCTCCTCATTTCTGGATTCACTCTCTCCTTGATTAGTTTCCATCCATTACTTCTTGTCCTGCCTTCAGGTGTTTTGGAGAATAGCTTGACTCCCTCTTCTTTGTGGCAGCCCCTGAGATATTGCAAGACCACTCTCATATCCCCCTAGTCCTTTCATTAAACTAGACATAGCCAATTCCTGCAACTGTTCTTCATATGTTTTAAACTCCATAATCATATTTGTTCTTCTCTTCATTCTTTGTAAAGTCTCAACCTCTTTGTTATATCGTGGTGACCAAAAATGGATACAGTATTCAAATTGTGGTCTCACTAAGGCTTTATAAAGCAGTACTAATACTTTACGTTATCTTTAGTCTATCCCTCTGTTAATGCAGCCTGAGACTATGCTGGGTTTTTTTGGCAGCTGAGGTACACTGCTATCTCATATTTAAGTGATTTTCTACAAGGACTCCAAAATCCCTCTCACAGTTATTGGAAAGACTAGAGATCATGGATACTCAGCTATTAGCAGTATGCCTTTTAATAGAGTAGTATTTTGTATCTGATTACATCTATTATGGCAATCCTTTAGTGACTGGGCAAGCTTCCTTCACGGCAGCCATTTTGTTAAAATACTTACGACGTGACGCGGTGCCATCAAATCAGTTCTGGAGACAAAATACAGGTATTCCTCAACTTACAACCCCAATTGGTTGTAAGTTGAAGAATACCTGTATTTTACAAACATCTAGTTGTAAATGTTCAGAAGAATAACCCACATTACGTATCTGATATTAGCACAGTTGAGAAAGTCCAGAAATATTTCACAAGAAGAGTTCTCCACTCCTCTACTCGTTGTAGAATACCTTATGTCACCAGACTTGAAATTCTAGAGCTAGAAAACCTTGAATTACGCCATCTTCGGTCTGATCTAAGTATGGTATATAAAATCATACATTGCAATGACTTATCTGTCAATGAATACTTCAGCTTCAACCATAACAACACAAGAGCACACAATAGATACAAACTCAAGGTTAACCGCACCAAACTTGATTGCAGGAAATACGACTTCAGCAACAGAGTGGTTAATGTCTGGCATACTTTACCTGACTCTGTGGTTTCTTCCCCAAACCCCAAAAACTTTAATCTTAGACTGTCTACTTTTGACCTCACTGCTTTCCTAAGAGGTCTTTAGGGGGCGTGCATAAATGCACCAACGTGCCTACCGTCCCTGTCCTATTGTTTATTTTTCTTATATGTACCCATTTCATGTATTCATAACTATGTATATACTTATACCTATTATCTTGTAAGCGATTGACAAATCAAAATAAATAAATAAATAAAATTAATTAATTTTCTTCTGAGAGAGATTGATCATGTCACAATTGAGCCCAACATTTCTGTGGGCTAAGCAAGATATTTGTGAAGTGACTTCTGCCCCATTTCAGGACATGAATCACTGCAATTGTTAAATTAGTGATTTAAGTGAATTTAAATTGTTAAGTGAATCTGACTTATTCACTGACTTGGCTTGTAGGAAGGATGTAAAAGGTGATCATATGACCCTGAGAGATGGCAACCGTCATAAAGATGAGCCAGTTGTCAAGCATCTGAATTACGATCACACAACCATGGGAAAGCTGCAACGGCCGTAAGTGTGAAAAATGGTCATAAGCCACTTTTTTCAGGGCCGTTGTCACTTTGAATTGTCCCTAAATGAACTGTTGTAAGTTGAGGAGTGCTTGTACATAAATATACTATGTTGCCTATCCATATGGTTCTCTTGATAAAAACTGGAGTGGTCTACTACTGTCTTTTATCACATGATGTAAAATGATTCCTTAAAATTAATGGATGGAAACTGAAGAAGGAGAGATTTAACCTGGAAATAAGGAGAAACTTTCTGAGAGAGAGAACAATCAACCGATGGAACAGAAGTTGCCCTCAGAAGTTATGGGAGCTTCATCACTTGAGGCTTTCAAGAAGAGATTGGACTGCCATTTGTCAGAAATGGTGTTGGGTTTCCTGTTTGGGTGGAGGGTTGGACTAGATGACCTACAAGGTCCCTTCTAACTCTGTTAATCTGTTAAAATATTGCTATAATGTCGTCCCTAGTCCTTCTTTTCATTAGACTAGATATACCCAATACCTCCATATGTTCTAGCCTCCAGCCCCCTAATCATCTTTGTTTTTTCTGTCATAATTCTGTGCTGCAATGGGTAGGTACTCATTTACTGTACGGGCAATTGAGAAAGAAAGAGATGACAATAATCTATCTCTATGGTTTGAATTGATTTCCTTTTTACCTTGATGAAAGTGACAAGGCCGCCATAAAATATGGCTACAATAAAGAGAACAATGAAGGCTGCCACAGAGAGGAAGAAGGGGTCCAGCTATTTTCCAAAGCACCTGAAGGCCAGACAAGGAATAATGGATGGAAACTGATCAAGGAGAGATTCAACTTGGAAATAAGGAGAAACTTTCTGACAGGGAGAACAATCAACCAATGGAACAGAAGTTGCCCTCAGAAGTTGTGGGAGCTTCATCACTGGAGACTTTCAAGAAGAGATTGAGCTGCCGTTTGTCAGAAATGGTGTAGGGTCTCTCTCTTGAGCAGGGGGTTGGACAAGATGACCTACAAGGTCCCTTCCAACTCTGATGATCTGTTATCTGTTAATATGGTCATCGTCCACCAACATTTTCCTCTGTTGCTGCTGTCCTATATAGTCTATATATACTAGTCTTAGCTGGACAGTTCACACCTTCACACCTTGGTAATTGTTTTGGGAATGTACACTCTTCAAGTACGCTCCCAATTTTTTATTCCACCATGATGAGGTAGCACGGCAGAATCTGAGGGGACATAGAATATATACTTTCCAAATTTCAGTATTTATGGAGCTTTTTTATGTTTTTATATTCTCGTATTTGAGGGGCTTCTAAAAAGACGAGGGGGTTAAACTACTTTCCAAAGCACCAGAAGGCAAGGCAAGAAACAATGGATGGAAACTAATCAAGCAACCTAGAATTAAAGAGAAATTTCCTAAGGGTGAGAACAATCAACCAGTGGAATAGCTTGCCTTCAGAAGTTGTCGGTGCTCCATCACTGGAGGTTTTCAGAAAGAGACTGGACAACCATTTGCCTGAAATGGTAAAGGGCAGTGGTCGGCAACCAGTGGGCTGGCGACCACTGGTGGTCCACGAGAACATTTTGGTGGTCTGCAGAGAAATGTCACCCCAAAGCAATTAATCCAGGCTGTATGGGAACAGAAGGCTGCACCCAGGGTCTCTGGTCCGTGGGATTTAAAAATATGAGTTTGGTGGTCTCTGAGGCCCAAAAGGTTGGCAACCCCTGGTATAGGGTTTCCTGCTTAAGTAGGAAGCTAGACTAGAAGACCTCCAAGGTCTCTTCCAACTTTGTTTTTCATTGTTCTATGTTTTAATTCCAAATGTAACAGCTAGGCACTTCCTATTTGTTTGATCACCTGATTGATTAATACCTTACCTTTCTATTCAAACAAATACTTTAAGGCACTACCTTGCATAAATTAATCATTGATATAACATCCTGATTCTACCCAGTTCAACTCCAGGTAGTTCACCGTTCAACAAAAAAACAAAATAAAACCAACATTTTAGCACCACTCTCTACATAGTCCATCCACAGCTTTGCTGCTTAGCCTCATCCTGCAATCTTAACCTTCCTTCCGTGAAAAATGTCCTGTTTCCAGTTTCTTCCCATCACATGCAGGGTTGAAGAAGCAAGCTTCTGGAATGCCAACCAGGAACAAAAAAGAGAGGAGCTGATTGGAATTCAAAATACAATTTGTGGATTAATTAACAGGCTCAAAATTAACAGCATTCGCCCTCTTGCTCAGGAAAACCTTGTATGGCAGTTGAGGAAAATGGGTTGATTTGCAAGGATTTATTTTATAAGGCAAAGTAATGTTTTAATTGCACAGCACCAGGGAAAAACATATATATTAACATAGGGGTCAATGGAAAGACTCCAGAGACAAGTCAGATGGTGTTGTATTTAATACCAGTGTCTGAAAAGAATCCAGTGGGAGTTGGCTTACTGAGTTGCTATTATTCACTGCCTTTAAAAGGGGGGGAAATTAATTATGCTTCATCAGAAAAGTTGCAGGATTTGGGTTTGGCTAGTCTAGTGAAAAGAAGGATTGGGGGAATATGATAGGAGCATTCCAGTATTAGAGAGGCTGCCACAAAGAAGAGGGAGTCAGCCTATTCTCCAAAGGACCACAAGGCAGGACAAGAAACAATAGATGGAAATTAAACAAGGAGAAAAACAACCTGGAACTAAGGAGAAATTTCCTGAGGGTGTGAACAATTCATCAGTGGAACGACTTGCCTCCAGAAGTTATGAATGCTCCAACACTGGAAGTTTTTAAGAAGAGAGGACAGCCAATTGTCTGGCATGGTGTAGGGTCTCCTACTTAAACAGGGGGTTAGACTACAAGACCTCCAAGATCCCTTCTAACTCTGTTATTCTGTTAAACTGAAGCTGACTTTTTTGCTTGACAGCATGACATGGTCTCCCTTTTCTCCCCCCCAAAAGTTTAAAAGAAAAAAATAAACATCAAATTTGGCAGATATTATAAGATGCAATCTTGATGTTGATTGGCCTGAAGTTATCCCCACCCCCACCCCCCCCCCTTCAAAAAAAAAAAGAAGAAGTGAAAATGCCTTTAAGGGACATTATTTTCCTTTTTTTTTCCTTTTCAACCTTAATTATGTTCAAGAAGATGACTTTGATCTTTGATATAAACTTGCTTTTCCAAACCAGAACGGCTTCTCCTTCCATCCTGGAAACTCAAGTGCTCCATCAAAAAGCGCCATGTCTTAAATTTCATTTTCCCTGGGACCCCACTGATAGGCTGAAGATAAAAATACAATTTTTCAGAGAGTCAAAAGGACATCGTTTGAGAACTATCTGACTTCCCACATGTTTTATCTATCGCAGGCCTGCTTGCCTCAGAAACCCAGCTGCAGCTGTATTTTTAACCAGACGAGAAAAAGGCCCTTCAAAGATTATGTTTTAACAGATATTTGAGATTAATGGCCTAAAAATAAGAAGATAAAATTCTCTGGCTCTGGTTTATAACAAAATAGCTCCAACTGGTTAATCGGAACCAAGAAAACCTCAGGATTGGTACTTCTGTGAATCTCCTGAAGTTTCTAAAGCCAAGGAGTCCTTGAATTATAACAGTTTGTTTAATGACCTTTTGAAGTTGAAATGGCACTGAAAAAAAGGGATTTAGGACTGTTGCAGCATCCGCACTTGGACCGCTTGGCAACTGACTCATACTTATGATGGCGGCAGAGTCCCGAGGTCATGGAATCCTCTCTTGAGACCTTCTGACAGGCCAAGTCAACAGGGAAAGTCAGATTCACTTAACAACTGTGTTTCTTATTCAACATCTGCAATGATTCACTTAACAACGGTGGCAAGGAAGGTCGTAAGGTCTCTCTTAGCAAAATAAACCTTCGCCTCAGTGGTAGTCATAAGTTGAGGACTTTTACCTGTACTGCAATATTTCATAAATTTTTCATCCAGTTGTGCTACTTGGCTACATGTTGACTGGGTTTGCATATTATTGTAAATCCTAAATTTGGGCTAAGAAGTGCAGTTGCTGTGTTCACACAACAAGCTATGCCCACTTCATGCAATGACTAATTCCGTTCTGACCAGTGGTGGGTTTCCAAATTGTTTCCTACTGGTTCTATGGGCGGTTCTATGTGTGTGCACTTCATGTGTGCGTGCAAGGCTCAAGGGCCGACCTCTGTGTGAGGTGAGTGAGGTGAGCTGAGTTGTTTTTTAGCTCAGCTGAGGCACTACAATCTGCTCTGCCGCATGAATCAGCTGAGCTTCGCGCGCACACAGGGCTCAAAGGCCAACCTCTGTGTGAACTATGTAAGATGAGCTGATCTGTTTTTTTAGCTCAGCTGAGGCGCTACAATCCATTCTGCTGTGCA